TTATTAAAGAAGTTCATTCAACAAACAACATAAAGCATATACATATCAAATTTATTGGGTTAAAGTTCTCATGTCAGTGCATGCATAAAACGATTTCCTAATATTTTTATATCTGAGATTGGCAGACAAAATTCTCTATAGCATATACTATATACTAATTTAATGAGTGGAATTCCTTGATTTAAGAAAATATATAATAATGTATATTGAGGTACGCAAAGTTAGGTTAGTAGGTTAGAAGTTTAAAGAGAGGATTTCCTTATGTTGTGGTCATATTAGACTAATAATATTAAAAACCATTCAACATAAAACATATCAAAATTATTAAGTTAAACTTTCTACTTCAGTGCATGAATATAACGTAATTTTAGGATATATGAGATTTACATAACATTTGAGAATGTACTGAATATAAAATCTTAAATATTTTACATTTTAATAAGCAATCTATCAGAAATACGGGGATTGGTTATGCTGTAAAGCCTTCAGAACCCCTGAAATACTAAAACTGGGATGCAACAAGCAGTGAATATTTCATTTTGATTTAGTGTAGATGTTTTTTTACATATTTTAAATTTTATTTGAATTCTTTTTTATTTTGTATGGTCCATATGTTATATTTTCCCCATACAGATAAATGAATACCTGAACTGATATTTTATGGGTTTCAGATTATTATACAAAACAGATATCATAAATCATCATTGTCCGACTGTGTGCATTGAACATTCCCAACCGTAACTTGGCTACCGGCCTCGCTTGACACTTCACAACAAAGGGCCTGTTAATTAATCTTGCCCAGCTTCCTCCTCCTCATCATCTTCTTCTTCATCATCATAATTATTAATTGTCCATAGCAAAGTAGTGAAAAAATATGAATTCAGGGTGTATTCAATAATACAGTAGACGTCTCATAATGCACGAAGTGTATTTCAAAGAATCTAGAAAACAAAAACTTTTCCAATATCTAAAAGTTATCTTCCAGCGACAAAACAAGCTAGCTCTCTTCTCATGACCATCCCAATATGGGAAGCCATCTGTGCAAGCCAGGGTAAACTCTGGATCCGCGCTTGACATGTATTTAATGCTTAAAAAAGGTATATTTACAGTATATTTATTTATAGAAAATAATGTTGCATACTAGCACTATCAGGAATAAATATACAGATAAAGGCTCCCGAGTGGGCATAGACACAAAACCACTTATAATTATTCAAATAGCACGCATCATCTGGCACTTTAGCAGCGTGTGCAAGCAACTCATTCGCTGTAACAGTGAAGCGGCTTTATTAAAAACTATTTTCTCCATGATAAAACGTCTCTTTGTTATTTTTTTTTCAATTTTCAGACGGCTTCGCGGCCCTCTAAAAATGTTTCGCGGCCAAATTTAGGCCGCGGACCATAGTTTGCGGAACGTCGATCTAGAGGTACCGTTTCCTCAAATTTTCTCACCTTAGGTCCAACCATGGGGGTCTGAGGTGCGTGTTGACTCACAAAATGTCCTCCCCCACCACCTTTCAAAACAGATCTGTGCCCTTCCCTGGGTATGACATTAAACTCTATCGAGTCGGCTCCTGATGTTTTTAGGATGTCGATCTTGTTTTTCATGTCAATTTTTCGTGATTATGACTATTCTGGATAAAGAATGTTTTGAGCAGAGGATTCAAGGCTCGCCACCCCCTTCCTTCATTTTTTTTTAAGAAAAAAAAGAAGAAAAATACATTCAAATTTAAGTGTGAGAGTGTAATTTCCGGCAATCTAGAGATGCCCTAATCCTAAATTTTTTAATCTCAACCCCAACCACGGTGGTGCTGAGGTGGGTGGTTCCTCGGGCTGTGAAAGTCCCTCCCTGGTTCACCTCTCTTTCGAATTCCTGGATCAGATTGTTGATTTATTATATAATTATTGTTGCACTTATTTATAATACAATTTATTGCAATTTTCACTTTATCCTCTCAAAACAGTCCTAAGAACGTTCAGATTGCGCTACTTCACAGGGGAATTCGCCCTCGGGACCCCGCCGGGGTCATACGTAATTCGCATAACGGCTCCCCCCTTTCAAAATCCTGGCTACGTCTCTGGCTTCGTTTGGTGGCACCATTTACTCTAGGTAGACGGCGACCGGTTTCGTTAACGGTTGGTACATTTCTTGCAAACATTCAGCCAAAGGCCAGTGAAAGTTGAGACGGCAGCCGGGTTTTTATCGATGTTTTCCATTCTTATGTGTGCCATCGTAAAGTCATGGTTTGCTGGAATTGCGTTCAATTTAAATCTCCGAACTTCTGAAGCTGAGATATTCTATGAATGTAGGCTACTATCGCAGGCTATGTCAATTTAAAAACGGGTAAATTAATGAAATAAATGAAATGATACGTAGTACGACACAGTGTTCAAATTTATTGATCAGTTAAATTTATAAACATGTCATATGAAACTATGAGTAGTTGAACTATGAATAATGAAAGATTTAACCAGCTCAGCGTGGCTGACGCAGCCCGACGTTGGACCTACGACGCTGCGAAGCCCATCGGACTGTCGTATGTACGGTACTGAGTTCGTTCAGACAGTAGGTACCGGTATGCGTGAAACTTAACACAAACTACAGATAATAAGTAAAACCTCATTGTGCATTACACACTAATATGACGTGTTAATGATGATATCAGTCTAAATATCATGAAGTGGTGCGTCGTTTTAATTATGTTGCATAAAAGTTGCTTCCATATAATAGTCACGCTACATAATACCGGTATGTCCATAGAGAAAATATTTTCTCTATGATATGTCGGTGCCGCTGAGTGGTCGGTCGAATCGGCGTATAAAGATAGCAATGAATGAAACTGTCGATTTTAACCAGTAACCTGTTACCTAAAGTATATTTACTCTATTAAAATTAATAGGTTGTTGACACAAGAAGCCTAAAGATTGGGTGCGCCACAAATAGGAGGGAGTGCAAGAACGGTTACCCTTATGTGTTTGTATGCAACTACTCACCTGCGTAAGTCATATTACTGCTAAACACACACACAGATATATATATATATATATATATATATATATATATATATATATTAAAAGTCAAAATACTGAAAAACAACAATGCTGTGGGAAACAATGGCTGGATATATATATATATATATTTATATATATATATACACGTGTGTATATATGTGTATATATATGTACATATATTTGTATATATACATATACATAATTTTATATATATATATACACGTGTGTATATATGTGTATATAAATGTACATATATTTGTATATATACATATACATAATTTTATATATATATATATATATATATATATAATCTGCGTGGTTAGTTTGAACCAGATCATGTAGACGAAAGTGCTCAATACACACGTAGAGCAATATAAATAATTAATCAAAGACACTAGGTTACAGGCAGTATCTGCTAACACTTTGCCTTGTTTTCTAGCGGAAATTTCAATCGTCAAAAGCCTTATGAGGTAGGCGCTCGTTGCTCATCATGCCAACCTGAAAACAAGTATTGTAAAGACGGATTCTGCAGTAAGTAATCATGTGATAAAATGAAAATGATGGTGGTGTTAACGTTTGATCAAAATGATTATGATGATGATGTGAGGGAATCGACGGCAAAGAGGGCAAATGAATAAATAATAAATAAATAGATAAAGTATTATTAACGTGTCGTGATCATTACGATCATTATGATTATTGTGGTGATATTCATGTTTGATGATGATGATGATGATGATGATAACGATGGTGATGATGGTGACTCGGTGATCATGACAATGATGATAATAATGACAACGATGTTCATCGACAAGCATGATAATACCTGCAGTAAGTGCGACAATGAGGAATGGTGATGACAAAGATAATGATTAGATGATTAGATGGCCAGCTAGATGATAATGATGATGATAATGACAATAATGATAATGATGATTATGAATATGGTAACGGCCGTGGCCACGACGACGATTGTCATGGTTATTATAAAATGATATAATATACAATGGAAGTGAAGGGAAGAGTCACCATCTATAAATATGGTTAAAAAATATATGGTTCTTTCGTAAACCTGTTTCTTTTTTTCTTTTTTTTTCTGCAGGTGATTGTGAACCTGGTGATAAAGGCTGTTGTAAGTATTAGGCCTTTCTTAATGAGGATTCTCAACCTTGATATATGTATCTGTGTGTTAATTAACAAATAGGCGTATGCTTGTATGAGCTTCGGACTTACACCCGATATGTGTTTTATCAACAAACGATTGCGTTGTACATTATCCTAAATATTTTAAATTATTGTTATTACCATGTATGTTACTCATGTGTACCGTATGCATTATTGTCTGATATCCGGTGAACTAGCCCCTATAACATATCATTGTTAATGTATGCCATATTATTTATTAATTTTGTTATCTTTATCATATTTATTACTGTTATTAATATCATTTAGCATTTATTATTTATTATTATTATTACTATTATTATCTATTATTATTACGCCAGCCAATTCTAAACGATGACTTTGTCTGCTCTGTCTGTCAGCGTCGCTGCTGTTCACGTCTCGGCCTGATCAGCCACAACAGAAAGCACATCAGCCTGCAGCACTAAAGTCTTTACGTTTATCTAAAGCTTTCAATAATAATTATAATAGTGGTGTTAATAATAATAATATTGATAATAAAAATAATAATAATAATAATAATAATAATAATAATAATAATAATAATAATAATAATATTAATAATAGTGATAATAATGATAATGATAATAATAATAATAATAATAATAATAATAATAATAATAAAAATTATAATAATATTAATTAAATAGTTAATTAAAATGTTAAACAATTCAGAGAGAAAGGAGATCTGTCGGATTCGACGGCTCAGTCCATCCATCCATTATTATTACTATCATTATTATTATCATATGTATTATTAGTATTATTATTGATATTATTATTATTATTATTACAATTGCTAATATTATCACTGTTAGTGTAGGCCGTATTATTTATTATTTTTATAATCTTTATCATAATTATTACTGTTACTAATATCATTTATCATTATTTATTATTATTATTACTATCATTATTATTATACTTATTATTATTATTACTATTACTAATATTATTGTTTTTATTATTAAAATTATTAATACAATTATTATTTATTATTATTATTATTATTATTTATGATTATTATCATTATTGTTTATTATTATTATTATTATTATTATTATTATTATTATTGTTATTATTATTATTATGTTACCGTTACTGCTCCACTTTACTTTCATACAGCATGCAAAGTTGACTGCGGACGTCATACAACGGTTAAATCTACATGCTCCTGCAAATGTAAAAAAGGAGCCTGGGGACCAACATGCAAAAGTAAGTATTAGGCCCTTTATTTGCATAAAAATAGGCCTAATAATAATTTTAATAAAAATGATATTAATAATAACATTAATAATGATAATATTATTGAAAATAGTAATCATATGAATTATATATAATGTTAATTTTAATAATATATTTATGATGCTAAGGTATCTTTTGTACTTTATGAGAAAAATAAGAGAAATAGGCCTAAATGTTGTCATTGAATTGAATTAAATGTGATAAAAATGAATGACATCATCAGTCGAGGACGCCACCATAGCTTCTCCCTCTCTGGTAGGCCTAAACACGAATTTTATTAAATAAATGTAATATTTTTATTTTCAGAACCATGTGTGAACACCCCACAATGTACCGACCCCGGATATGACAAATATCCTGTCAGTACCGTATGTGTTAATCCATATTTTTCTGAACAATGTGCCAAAAAGTGTCAGAAAACGTGCTGTAAGTAAAATTTTCTATTGAGGATAATCTAATAATTCAATAGTTGTTACATATGAATTATAATGACCCGAATCTTAATGATGATATAATAATACTTTCCGATCGAGTACGCCTATAGAATGAAAATAATTCAACATATTTTCATTACTTTCAGAAGAAGTGCTGAGACGGCTTAGACGAGACTTTTTCTCTTTGTATACATAACCATGGATATAATCGAATTACTAATGTTGAGGTTTTATCTGCTATTGAGAATCAAAGTTATGTCAGATATAATATTCATGTATAATATGAGGCGTAATCATGCTTACGCGTGCGCTACACAATGCGCATGCTCAGTCATGGTCGGTGTATTCATAATACTGTACATTATTTAGACCTAATGATGTAGTGTAATAACTCATTACAGAGGCAGGATACACAGATCTGGTGAATATGCCTATAAACAATACGTAGCCTCAACTCGCTTTCCCTAATGGATACCGTAAATAAAATTATAATACAAGCCATATTTACAGTTAAACATAACGTTGAGCCTAGTAGTGTAACAATTCGTATGAACGGAGTATTTTCGTATCCAAGTCAATCAACATCAACCTATATTGTGTGTATATTTGTTTATGTCGATTGAACTTTGGTACGGGCATGCTCATTTCAAACTACGAATTGGCTTATTACGTGTAGGCTTAGAACTTTAACTGTAGATTATTAGCTTAAAATATTATATATTTACCAGGTGTATATATTACAATGGAATCATAACTTTGATTTAACGGTTTATATGTTTTCTTTGTGAATGTAGGCCAATATATGTTATTTTGTTAATTATTTTCATTAAGTTTTAATACAGTTATGTTGTTTAATAGTAGGGCTGAAAGTTGTTGAATTGAATTGAAATTGTTCACAGCCAAACTTTCGTATATTAGCTCGGTTTTTCATTTAAGGCGTCATTGCAATATAGAATTTGATATGGCATAAATGTTCTTTATTAATACTTACAATAATGAAAATATGTCCAGCTACTGACCCACCACCGGTTACGTGTAGCGCGGTAATATAGTATTGATTAGCCTTAAATATTCGCATTTATCAATTTAATAAATACTGTATACATTTTACACATGAGAATGTATTAAAATATTGCAGACAATTGAATAAGATACATACAAATGTACAAAAGCTTCTATTGTTCTGTTTCTGTGGAAATCGTTCAAATGTGTATATTTCACTTTAGGGTAATTACCTTTGGCATGGAGCTAGCGGAATAAAAAATAAATAAAATGCAATGATTAGATTTTCATGCGTGTGCGGCTTAAAGCAAAGAGTATAAAACTGCAAGAGGTCCGACTGCCCTTATTTTGTATACAGGCAATGGAACGTTAAAAAGTACTCCCACAAAGGGGCTTGTCCTTCATAAGAACGTAAAAGGCGTTCGTATCGAACGCGTGCAGCGTTTCGAATTCCATCATACATTCTATAGACGCGCAGTACGCGTTTGATATGAACGCACATTACGTTCTTTTAAAGGTCACGCCCCTTTTGGGTAGTACTTTTTGAAATAGGATTGCGTTCCAAAGAATCCCGCGCAGTCGGCCGGACCTCTTGCAGTTTTATACTCTTTGCTAAAAGTTTTCGTTTCAGTTCCCCTCTCTAGAGGGCGCTTTCTCGGCCGTTATGAGAAAGGCGTTGTAAAATTGTGTTTCCTGACTACCCTACACAGAAGTCTTGTTGGTGCGCACTAAAAACAAGTCATGAAAGCGGTATTGTTGTCATTTCTGTTGTTTGCTGTGTTTCATCCAGGTAAATTGTAATCAGTATTAAGATTCTTAATGTTGTATTTAGAATTTTTATTTATTTTTACATTAAATTATGTTGGATCTTGCCATCAACACCAACAGCCTAGGCTTAGCCTAGGTCTATGCGTTGTAGTAGTACTTTCTAGGCCTAGTAGGCCTAGTAGTAGTAGTACAGTTTTGGTAAGCTAGCCTCCTTGACCTCCTAGCGGTAGCCTACCTGCATTCATACAGTACTTCCTAGGCCCTATCTAGGCCTAGGTGTATGTGTTATAGTAGTCTGGGCCTTAGGCCTATGCCTGTTAACGCAACAGGCTTACCGTTGGAGTATGGTAGTAAGTATAGGCCAACAGTACACTCTGCTGATAAAATACACTATGATGATGTGAGATCTACATGTAACCTACTGCACGAGGCCTGGGCCTATGCCTATAGGCCTAGATGTCATTCACAATTTGAGACTTTTGCACAATTTAATATTGAATTTGCAAATTGTGCAAGCTCTTCCTTGCACAATTTGCAAACTTTGCAAGGATTTCTTTGCACAATTTGCAAACAGTGCAACATTCTGCACAGTTTGCAAATTGCGCAAGGAGAATGTTTGCACAGTTTTAAAATGCGTGGACAATTTGCCAACTGTTCAGGTATTATAGCTCGTGTACGTTTTAATTGATTTGCACTTACTATACTATACTACACTACTACAGTACTTCACTATATTTACTATCTTCTGTTGATGGGCAGCTTGACCAGCGCGACAGGCTTTAATCATCAGAAAGTAGATATTGTTGGGGCATGTGAGTGGGTTGTGGGGAGAAATTGGGAGGCATTGGGAAGTAGAGAAGGGGTTGGGGATGCAGTGTGCAGAGGGAGTTGACTGTTATTTTTGGGGTCTAATTTTTGTAAATAAACTTTTAATGAATAATAGTGGGATAGTATCAATAGTGAATAATTACAATTTTTACATTGAGGTATGCAATCTTCCAGTAAAATGAAATGCATAGGCTAGGCCTTACGTTGCTGAATTGCGTATGAATTAATAAAAATTAAAACATAAATAACAGCATTAAATTGCAAACATAAAGAAATACAGAATAGATTTATGACATCAATTGAAAGAAAAAATGAAAAATTGGTCAGGCAACATTAAAATGCGAGACAGACCTAGCCAAGCCTAGTCCCAATCATACTGTACTTACAGTCATCATAGTCTAAATCTATATCTATTTTATACAGCCTGGCCTAGCCATAAGCTATCTTCTGTCATTGCAAATTCCGATCACTTAAAAAATTGAAAAAATTGCTGTATGCATGTACAGTATCTGCCAAAAAATACATTATGTTGATTCATCTAACCAGGTTACTAATCTAATACCCTGATCTAATAATAAGTTAATAATATCAACATCAGTAAATACATTTGTCACATTTTAAGATAATTGCTAAAAGAAATCAATATAGTAGTAGCCTAGTCTACTTGATAAACTTCGCCTATGCCTACAGTAGGTTAGGCTACAGTAGACCTAGCACTAGATTTATAATTAGCTTAGCCCACCATATACTACTAACTAGGCCTGCCCTAAGATAGGTAGGCCTAGGAACTAGAGAGAGAGGCCATGGTAATTTTTGACATTAAAATAAACGAGGGCCTAGGCTACTTAGGTAACTGAAGTCATTTGGTATGTTTTTGAAATACTACAGGCAGCACAGGTATGTTGATTTCTTTGACTTATATTTAAAAACGGGTACTTCCTAACTTTAGAAACATGCAAGATTAAGGCGATGTAGCATAGGCCCCTAATTTATTTGCAATACTTTTGTCCTAGACAGGCAACCAAAATCCCCAAATTTTTAATGGTGTCCAAGTGTAGGCTCAGATGTGAGGTATTGAACTTTGACAGACAGTAAAATAATGTGACCCTATAGTGTTCGAGAAATACAATGAGACTCCAGACACCATGTAAAACTGATTATAAAAGGGTTTTTTTCTTCAAATGTGTGACCACAAGACCAAGCTTGCCCACGTCGGTCCTCTGAGACTAGTCTCTATCTCATCTCCTATCCTATCCTTTTGCAAAATATTAGGCCTAGGCTTATCTCTCAATATACAACAAATGTATAAAGCATTAATTACGATTCTGTGCATCTATTTTCCTGGTGATTTTTTGCGCAAATATGAGTTTGTTTTTGAGATATCCTTCTTGCAAAAAAATACTATAGCTTAGTGTAGTAGTGGGCCAACATAATGTACTAGGCCTGTTGTACTCTGTAAAGTTCAGAGTTTAATTTTATAATAATTAAGATCTGTCCAAGTAAGTCCAGTAAAATAATATATTTATAGTAATATAGTTGTGGCGCATTTAATATTGAGACTAAAATTTAAAGTTCAAGCCACTCCACCAATCAACACCTTAGATTTGTGTAAAATCGTTGGGAAAAATATTCACAGTGAAATTCAAACCTTGGGTAGTTAACAGCAAATGTTAGTGGTCCACCCAGGCCAAGTGTCACAGAAACTTTGCATTACTTTAACATAATTATTATTTAAAGCAGGATGTCAATCAAACCAGTCAAGCCCCACCCCTTGGATATTGTTGCTAAGGTCCCATAAAAGGACAATGTAAAAACATACGCAAACACATGCGTTTGTGGGCGACAGGTGTGTTGTATTCCTAGCCATCTTCTGATCGGCCTGTTGTTAAGTTTAATTGACACTTAGGAAATGTCCATTAGTTTAACCGTCACAGCCAACTTTAAGGCTGACAGACATCTAGGATTGCATTTTTTCCGGAGTGTCAATCAAACTGACCAATCTGAAGACAACCAGGAATTCGCGCATGTCAAACAAGCACACGTGTTGCCAACTAATGCACATGTTTATGTAAATTTACGCTATTGTGTTGTGGGATTTTAACAGCAATATCCAAGGGGGAAGGATTTAGCGGAAAGATCCATTTCAACACTGAATATTCTTTTATTTTCATATTTAAATTTTAAATACACACTTTATATTTCTTCAGGAAAAGTTCAAAGTATAACCATCAACTCAATATCTGACGAATATGTAGACAACGGGGTAACATTCAGCATTGGCTGTTATGTTAATGGTGCAACAGCAGGGACAGTATTACAGTGGTCTCGCACGAACGAAGAAGGTCGAAGTATTGGGATCACACACAACAACGACATTCTCCCAGCACAGTATAGATCTCGTTACTCTATATTAAATGCTGGAGTGTCATCGCGCCAGTACATCCTTACGATTAGAAACGCGCAGCTGGTGGATGCGGGACAATGGACGTGTAATGCCTACCCAGAATTTGGAGAATCCGTTTCCATGGAGGCTATGGTTACTGTGTTTAGTAAGTATTAAAAAAACTTAAGATATTTTGTACAGACCTGTATAATATTAATATTTTATTATTGAAAAACATAAAATTTCAGAAGAAGACACATATCAGGTGTATGTATTGAACTATTGAAATAGGATATATAATATTTATTTTATTTATTTCTTTTATTTTATTTGCTCAAAATTCTACAGTCACACATAATAAAATTGTAAACTTGGTAAACTTACAAATATGATAAAAACATATTATGTAAAAGAAAAGGCCTATTTAACCTAGTTACATAGTAAAAAATATATCATAAATGTGGTATATAACATGTAATCAGTTCCTCTGAGGAAGAGCTAGGCACTGTGGCATTCAAATATTTTAGTTCATTGTGGATAAGGTATTATAGGAAAATCTCAATATTGTAGGTTGAGGGTGGGCAAAAAATGGGTAATATTGTAGGGCCAAAGTGGATTTTTTGATTTAACACTGAAACATGGCGAAATTTGGTGTTTCGAGTTTGCTTGAAAAAAGTTCCATACCCTGCTTTTATACTTAATTCTCAGTTTTATTTTACTGTGTAGAGTAGTCTACTGTAGGCCTATAGTTGGTGTCCTAATGAAATGTTTGTAATTTTTCCTCGTTTAGGTCCACCAATGATAACTGCGATATCACCGTCTCCAAATGATCTGCGTTTGGATCAGAACAACCGGAACTACACCCTCTACTGCAATGCCACTGGTAGCCCGAAACCGACCATCAAATGGCGACGTTTGATGCCAGAGTACTTGCCCAACATGCGACCTTTCGAGATCGGAAGGCTTTTGAATCTAACTAGTATCACAGCTAATCATAGGGGAGTCTATGAGTGTGTGGCATCCAACGGGAGAGGGGAGGCTGCCCGGGGGAAGGTCAGGATCACATTTTCATGTGAGTCATTATTTTGTTTTGTTTTTTTATTATATTAAATTAAATCATCAATTTCAATAATTTAAGAAATTTAATCATTTTCATCCAGGATGAAAAGGTTTTTATTTGAGTCGGACAGTCATGGGCAACACACGCCAATTCTCTCATTTCTATTGTTTGTCATTTGCCCAAAGGAAGGGAGGGAGAAACAAATGAAAAAAAAAAGCCTGCTGCTCCATAAAAAATAATTATATTTGATAATTGATGTTGACTAACTTTGGGACAGGGGTGCTAAGCCTACCGAAAGTTGCGGAAGTCTCCCGGAAATCAGGACGACCTCCAACACTCCCACAAGAAGTAAAAATCTCCTGGAAAATAACCCATCTCCTGCAAATTCATATTATTTGCATGCTTTTACCATAGTTCCCGGGGTATAATCCCACACCCCATGAACGTGAAATTGGTTCGATTTTGGGGGTTGGGATTATACCCGGGGATTCCCGTGTGCATGAATAGAACGAAAATGACGATCGCTTTGCGAGGTGGCAGAAGCATTTGAACAACTGCCCTACAATTCAATGGCCTATCCAAAACTATATTCTGGCGAAAAAATCAGAGTTACTTGAACATCCAAGGGAAGGGAACACCCTAATTAGTAGGCCATCTCAATTCTCATGATGTAAAGTTGAAATGTTTGTACATTGCTGTTTGCCGTTGAATTGTCAACAGCAAAACTCTCATAAAGACTTCAGACAATATAACTGTTATGTGTAACAAAAGATGACTCATGACCCACAATCCATATAATACTGCATAACAATGATCCTGCATACAATTCAAATAAAAGCCCTACATGTCTTTGCTCATGACCTGGTGTCTCAGACAGTTCCATTTATCAAAAGGGGGTGTAGTGAAATACATAGTGTATATTGAGCTTAAATTATACTGATGATTCTGTTATTAGAATTTATTTATTTTAATATAACTAAGTTGAATTTAATTTTTAAGCCTAAAATTATATTGTTACTTGTTGTAGGAATTTAAAGCAAGTTAATGTTTTCCAGTTAAATTTAGTTTGCACTCAACATGCTCCCTTAGGAGGAGTAACATAGTTATCATCATACATTCCACAGTTTTCCTCCAAGCGTCAATGTTTTATGGTATTATAGTACAGTACTCTACTCTCATTTAATGTGACTGACCTTTGAACTGAATTGTTGTTGCTATGCAAAACAAGCAAGGCTCTTGAGGGAAACAGTTTTTTGGGATTTTTAAAAACATGCGGAAATAATTGTAGGGTGTGTTACTGTATGATCTATCTTATTACCTGAATGAAGGTAACAAATTTAAATCAGAAAAATGGAATAGCACCAAGTAAAAGGCCTGTTGCACATCTGTATGTACCCAAATGGCTGTCATTTATTACACATACCAGATATACTTACGTATAAGCCAAGGCTTATAATAGCAAATTACTGTCTAAAAACAGGGGGTCTTTTTATATGACATACACATTTGGCTCTGTTTCCAGCTAGATGCAGTACTAAAACCATAAAAAGCAGGGAAAAGTAGGAATTGCGACTATGAAACAGGGGGTCATCGTACGCCCGACATACAAATCGTCCAAAAATTAGGGGTCGTCTTATACGCAGGTTGCCTTATATGCGAGTACTGTATATCAGTAACCACCACCATGGTTTGATGGATTTGTATGCCTATCATACCCTGGTTGCTTTACATATTCAAAACTTCAATCATTAAATTTGATGGGCTGGAAGCTTTGACTTTGAAAGTCAAAAGTTGAAATATGTCCATATTTTTTTTAATTGCTTGATTGTATGACTAGGAGGAACAATAATTTATGTGAAGTGCTAGAGGCCTTCAGCATGAAGAACTTTAGACTAACATATAGAATTTTGTTGGAGTGCATTGGGATCAGCCATTTTGTGAACACAAAATATTTTCTCTCACTGCTGAAAGAAAAAATTTAACCCTCCTCACTTTTCTTGGTAGATAAACCAGAGGTGAAACCAGTGAAAGAATCTATCATCTTGCCTAAGAATGTTGCTGGCAACATCAGCTGTGCTTGCGAGGCATCTCCCAAGGTGACGAGAGATAACGAAGTTCGTTGGTACAAAGACAACATTCAGCTTGTGTGAGTTACTATATTTCTCTCCTTCATGGCAGTTTTAGCTCTGATGAGGAGCTCTAGAAACACTCGGCTGATTGATTATTTTGGCTCTACTGCCTCTGTTATACTGCCCTCATGAGGCTGATTGATTAATACTTCATTGATTAATAGATATTTTTTTAGATCTAATGCCTCTATTATACTGTCCTCATGAGGAGATCTAGAAACACTGGGCTGATTGGTTGATAGTTGATTGATTAATAGATCTTTATTAGCTCTACTTGTATTTTGACGGATGGTATCACCAGGAAATGGCACATGAATATGAATATATTTTTCTTTTTTTTCCTTCATTTTTAATATAATTTTGAAAAATTTAGGGGGATGGGTCAGCTTCCCATCCCCCTCCCATTGAGCCTTCCTATGTATACTCCAGATAGGCTTGCAAATTCAATTAAAAAATTGCTCATTAAAATGATCAAATGTAATTTGTTATCAACTTCCAGTTTGTCATTATCTGGTATTCCCTAAAGAGTTGAACAAATTTTGAAGTTTGATACTTTTGATAACTTGATATATAGGTCAACTGACACCCGGAATTACCTCATGGATGTGGAAGTGTATGCTCGTGACAGAGATACAGACCGTAGTGTGGCTATCCTGACTATTCGCAACGTGACTAGTGACAAAGGAGGAGAGTACAAATGCAGATTTGTGAATAATGTCGGCCAAACAGAAAGGTCCATTAACGTCCAAGGTGAGAAAAACATACATAAATATAATTAATTAAATCAAACAATTCAGAGAAATGTAACCACTTAACTAAAATATGGCTTCCAAAGCCTTTTGTGAGATGCTTTGAATTAAAACAAATCTAATTTTAAAATTCAAATAATGAAAATTAATAAATATCAAGAGGTAAATAAGCTGTATTTTTGTAGAAAAATGTAGTTTCCAATATCCATTACAACTGAAATATTATTTATTGTAATTATTATTTGCCAACCTACAGTATTATACATAACATTTTCATGGTCCACTCACAGTCTCCTGTTTTAATCAATTTTTATGCTTATTTATTTGAATTTACGGTAATTTATTTGAATGATATTGTAGATAGGGTATTTGAGGGAGCATCTATTTATAGCAGGCATTTAATTTTTTGGATGTACAATGGATACGTATACTATATATTTAAATAAATGCCCCTTAATTTCACTTTCAGTGTGAGCTACAACACATAATTGTTGTCAAATGTGATTATAAGGACTTATTTATCCCAACCAGGTTAGAAACGATGTAATGTGTTGAGAATAATGTTGCTTGAATTAGTTTTGTTTACACTCATTTAGGTGTCTTTATTTGAGGAAAATATCAACACCTTTATTCGAGGGGGCGTTTATTCAAGCTGAGGTGGCATTTATTCAAAGCGGAGCATTTATTCCAATAAATACAGTATGCCATTAAGTAAGGGGTGCACAGTCATAGTTTTCCTATTTCATCTTGTTACTAATTAAAATTAATTATTGTATTGAACATTGATTTTGTGTAAATTGAATTAAATTTATTGTTCCCTAAGTATAAAAAAAAAAATACTGTATTTCAATGTTTTTATTATATTTGAATTTGTGTATATAGAATAATTGTTTCCATGATATTTTGATATTATTCGTCGTCTTGAGGAGAGCCCTCGACAATAGATCAATCTTCAAGTTTTGAGTAATCCTGCCACCTGACAACAATATATTTAAATGTTTTTTTGTTTTTTTTATGGCATAATAAATTAAATGAAATAATGTTACTAATTTTCTTTTATTTTTCTCAGTTGGCGCTGTTGCTGATCCAAGTAAGTGTTGGATTTTTTTATTTAATATTACTTTTTAGTTTGTTACTTTGCTTTATTCATCAGCATATTTTTTGTTAGGATTCTCATTTTTAAACATTTGAAATCCATTTGTATACAGGGCATAGCACTAAACTGCTCTCTGTTAAACATAGCAGCTAAGAAGCACCCAGTACAAGTAAATATGTAAACAATGTCACTGAAAAAAAATAGATAACTGCAGTTCTTCAGTGTATAGCTTGTTATGTCGGTCTGCATTTATTTATTTTATTTATTTTTATATATTTATTTATTTCTTGTTTAACCTGGGTTAACAGCTCGGTTGAAAACCAACTGTTATACTTAAGTGCCCAGGATACGATACACAAAACATAATTCCTTATCTGCTTACTTTAATAATAATAGTATAATTCATAAGAATAGTTCATAATGACAATAATAATAATAATAATAATAATAATAATAATAATAATAATAATAATAATAATAATAAATTAAATACCGGTAAGCCTACAATAAAAATGCAAAATAAGTTGTTTTAACTGTCATCTAATACTATAATTCATAAGAAAAACATTAATAATAATAATAATAATAATAATAATAATAATAATAATAATAATAATAATAATAATAATAATGATAATAATAACATTATTAAAATTTAATAAGACTACAATTAAGATGTTAAAATGATAAATTATTCTAACAGTCATCTAATAATTACTTTACTAAAACCACTTTTTGTTTTTATAAAATTATTGTTTATTAATATGTAAAACATACAAAAAGCCCTGTGTCCTGTCTATCAAATTTTATTTGACAATCATGTGACATGCCTAAATAAATCACATCATTACCATATATAGGCACATCATGACTATATATGGAAACAACCTTCTTTTCTCGTATGTTTGCAGAAGCAGGGCGGGTGCCTTCTGGTGCCGTTGCAGTGGGACCATCAGCATTTGGCCTAACATTCATCATGGTACTTCTCGTTGCATATTTCCAGTAAAACTACCAGATCACAGCAGCGGTCTTGTGTAAATATATCTTTGAAGGCCATCGAAAGTGTTTTCTGTTTCCGTAAGTTTACCTACATTAGAATCTGTAATTTTGTAATTGAGTGAATACACAGATAGCAATGCTGGGCTACAAGAAGAATGTACGGTAATATCAGGATAATTTTAGTTCAGTTGATTTTACACTATGATTTTCAGTGTTATTTTAAATATTTTAATATCTGAATTCTTGGCAATGTTTCAACTTGTACAGTTCAGTATCATCTTACTAATAAATTAGTAACACATTTTCTTAAAAATTAATAGTGTTTTTTTAATGGTCCAAAATATATTTATATACAATTTTGTATATTTTACCACAGAAACAATAAGAATGTTAAGTTCCCCTACCCATTTTAGGAGAATGTAAATAGTATTTTATATTTTTTAGATTGTGATATTTTTTATTTAGAGTTTTTTACATATTTCCTTTCAACACCAACTTCCACCCCAAATATAAATAATGACATTCTGCAAATTTTATAAATTGGAAATATAAATGATTTAAAAAATGGTGTATGTATGAATTTGGTACTTTTCAAGCTACAACTAATGAATTTGAAATTTTAACCCTTGATATAACCCCTGTGGCTACCATCTTACCTGCCAAAAAATACATGAATGGTGGTTTACCATGAATCAAGTTAAAAAAGAAATCTTGACTGGACGATCCTGATTTAAATTATCACTGTACTTGGGCAGCACAACATTTTTTTAGCTTTATCTCAATAATTGTGAATTAAAATTACCAATAGTACTCCTATTCCATGTTTTAGTTTTCAAGAATATAATTAGTATGTTTTATTGTGCTTTGTGATAGGTGTCTTTAGTGTGTTACTGAACATTTTTTGTGCTGAACTATATAAAGTGAGATGAAGCAAAATACAAACTGATAAAAGCACTAATAATTATATAAAATAAACAAAATACAAAATAATAACATTTTGTTTACTTTAGCAATATATATTTAGGATTTTAAGTCAATTAAAGCTAAGCATATATTTAAAAGCATTCACAGACATTCTATATTATACCAACTACATAAATTCCAGGCATTTGATTGGTTAAAAGCCAGGCAGTAGTTTCAGCTATGGCCTCCTACCTGGTTATTGTATGTAGTGGTATATAAAACAAGTATTTACTGGGATTTATAATCAGGTCATAGTTCAAATTATAACCCTTGGTGATCTGGTGGCTGTACTATAGCCCTCAACTTCATCTCGGGATATAGTAGTTACAGTACAGCCTCCAGATGAACTCAGGCTATATTTTAAACCTTCAACCCAGTAAATGCTTTTTATACTATTGACCTTGATATTTTACATCTATACCGTTCAATTCTATTTTTATAAGAACTTTTCTGGTAAATATGAGAATCTATATTCAATCTATTTTCTATAGTATTTATATATTTAGAGAGATAGAAAAAACAAACAGGCTTGTCAGTTTCTTGGGATTCTTTTAGACAGGGTGATGTTATATTTAGTGCAAATATGTAGTTAGATAGGTATTTAGACATTCCAATAAATATGTAAACCTTGATATGGAACAGATAATGCTGTTATAGGTGTCCTTGTTGTAATGTTACAGATGTTATGAGACATCAATGTTACTAATATAAAATGCCTTGTTTTTTAAAATAATAATTAAGTAGTTAACTTTGCCTTCCAATACTTTTGCGTGTTTTTTGAAATGTGAATTTCATTTTTATTGAATTTTAATGCTGCATTCAGCTTTGTAACGGTTAAATTTGAGAATAAAGAAGGCAGAACCCGAAGAAAAGATGCATAAGATACGAATGATTGAGGATTAGTTTTTATTACATTTTATTCAGTGATAGATAAAGTGTTTATATCTCCATAGATGTTTGTGTATCCTATGCTTCTGCACTGCTTACACGTCTTAAGCCAATTGACTAATTTGTATATCACTTTAAAGTGATGCAATTTTCAAGAACAATACTAACAATAAAATATTTCTAAAATATAGACAAATGTTGTTTTTTCTTGCTCTGTTTTGTGCATTTTATATATTAATGAGTGTATTGTAATTGGGTACAATATACAGGGGCGGATCCAGAATTTTTCAAATGGGGAAGGGAGGGGGGCACACAACAGCTTCAGAATAAGTGAGTAGCACATTGATTTGCATTGACATCTTAAAAATTTAGTGGCAAAATTGGGGGGGGGGGGGGGGGGGGGTTGGGGCA